TGGCCTCGACCAGGCCTCAGCCTGGGCCCCTAGGAAGCGGTGGAAACCCCTCTGGGCCCCAGCCCTCCCTCGGGGAGCTGACGGCGCGACGCGTGGAGGAGTTGCTGCGCTCGCTAAGTCGTTGTTTGGCTTGTGCGCGTTGGCGTCCTCGTCGCTGGCTGATGGTAGGGCCCTCGCGCGTGTGATCCAAGTACCTGCTGGCGCCGACGTGGCTGTCTCCAGTTTTCACCCGGTGTTTGGGAAGGGTCTGGCCGAGCCCAAGTTGTCTGTCATGCTGGCAGAAGGGGAGGGCGCCGCGGCTTCTCGAGTGCCTTGGCTGGTCGCAGGTCACCCGAATCAAGATCCCGGTGCTTTTCAAGCCTCCGATTTTTGGAGGGCCCTCGCGGCCAGCCCTTTGTGCGCCTGCTGTTGTCGGCACGTGTTGGGCCGCTGGCGGTGCGAGGACGAGCGACCTTCTGAGTCGTGGCCCGAGTCAGGCCCCTTGGTTGGTGACTGCGGATTGTGACTCCGACCTCGCTCCCCGCTCGCCTGTCGCCCTCACTTTCTCCTTTCGGCTCGGGCCCTTGAAAGCGATGTCCTGCCTGAAGCCTCTGCGGATTGGCCTGGGCGGGATGGCTGGCCCAGCTGTCGAGCCTCCATCGCGTGCTCAGGCGCTGACCGAGTTGGACCGGGCCTTCCGAGTGTCTTGGCAGGGGAGCGGTGAGGTTGCTCTCGAGGGCATCGCTGCCGCGGATGGGTCCTGGGCCTGGGTTGAAAGAAGAATTGCGCCAGGTCGCTTGCGCCTCTTTCCCGAAGTGCGGCTATGGAAGTAAAGCCTTTCCGGTCGATTCGATCGGAAATCTAATGTTGACATCGATGTGCAGGGCCTTGGGGGCCTTGGCCAGCACGCCGCTAGGTTCGGGACCTCGCAAACAGGGGGGGGCCACAGGGTGTGTGTGAGTTCGGTCCGTTTGCGAACCGAACCGCAGAGAAACGATGGGGGTGCCCTATAGCCCTAAAGCCCAATAGCCCAATAGCCCTATAGCCCTATAGTCCTATAGCCCTACAGCTCTATAGCTCTATAGCCCTATAGCCCTATAGCTCAATAGCCCTGTAGCCCTATAGCCGTATAGCCCTGTAGCTCTATAGCCCAATACTCCTATACCCTATACCCTATAGCCCTATAGCCCTATAGCCCTGTAGCTCCATTACTCTATAGCCCAATAGCCGCATAGCCCATATAGCCCTATCGCCCTACAGCCCTAAAACGATTATGATTGGGTTTTTCTCCGGTATCATATCTTTGTTATATGTAGTGCTATGTTTGTTGATGGGGCCTGTCCCACACGTTTCACACGTCTCAGTCGCGAGCTCAGACGGGCTGCGTGGTCTTTTTGCTGCGTTCATGATTACGGCTCGATTGTGTGAGATGCGTTGCTCCGTGCGCGTCCTGCTGCCCCGGGCCCATCAGGCTGCAGAGTTTTCTGGTTTGACTGGATTCGTGATGTGTATGAATGGTCCCTCGAGGATCTCCTCGGTCTTTGCTTATGCCATTCGCCAGTTTAACTCTCCTCATGAGCAGTTCCCAGCGTTTCGCGTAGTTTTGTCGTGCCTCGCTGTGCATGCCAAATCTAACGAGCTTGCCAGGCATGCCATTGCGGCCGCGAAGATCAAGGCCATTTTTGTTTCAAGGGGGCTGGCCTATCTGAGGACGAACTGCAGGTCCGAACTGGCAGCCATCTTGCTGGCCCTGGGGCCAATGCTGCCCTGGAGCTTCAACGGCAAGATCTATGCTGCGTGGAACGGTTTTACTTACAAGTCAAGTTGGTCTACGTTTTTTGGAAGCTCGCCGTGAAACTGCCGCCGTGCTTCCCAAGTTTGAAGGGCCAGTGCGAGATTGAGTGCAGACCTGTGCCAATTGCGGCAGGTGTGTCCTCCAAAGCACGTTGCAAGCGCTCCTGAGTTGCCAGCTTCTGGAAGCGCGAGGTTTGCTGCAAGGTTGCCAGGCGCCCAGGAGTGGCCCCAGATCGACTGGCTCCAGTCAGGCCGCCTCCTCGCGCGAGCAGCGGCGTGGTGCGTGGCTTTGGCTCGGACGAAATGCAGAACTGCAGGCACCGTGTCGTCATTTCTCATGTTCCGACAATTCGATGTTTTGTTTGCGCCATTTGTTGCGCGTGCCTTAACGCGGGCTCTCATCGAAATGCGGGGTTTTATGCCGCCAGCGGCACGCGTGGTCTATATGCTCCCCGCAGCAACATTGGAAGTGGAATCGTGCGTTGCTTGGCAGGCACTTTTTTCACACGTTCTTGTGAAGGTCGCGACCAGCAATGCGATCGACAAGATTTTTGTTTGATCCGATTCTGCCACAGTGTTTTCCCCGAGCCGTCTTTTTTGAGGAGGGGGCCGGGCTTGTTCAGACTTGCACACAGCACGGGGCGCGCTCCAGCAGGTGGTGGCAGACCCCAGGGAGCAGGGCAGTGCCGCGGGGCATGATCGTCTGTGGTGCTGGCCTGGCCAGAGCTCGTGCGCATCAGGTCAGGCTGAAGCGGACTCAGGCTTATCCATGCCGATGACGTCGGACTAGGCTGCGCCTCTCATTTCATCCCTCTTCTCGTGCTGTCCGTGCTTTGGTCAGTGCCACGGGCTGCATTGCAAAAGCTGCTGGCTGGTGGACTGGCTGCGCGGGTCCCCTCGCATCTAGCTTGCGGCGAGGAAGCCACGATGCAGTCTGCGCCTCTTTCTTGGGTGTCGGGCTGCTGGCTCGTCCGATGCCCCTCCGTTTCAGCCCATGCCTGTGAGTGTGCGCTTATCGCACCTCCCCGTGCAGTGCGGGTCATGGATGCGCCAGATGCCCTCCCGAATTGTTGTCCTGCTGCTTGCTCTCCCGCGGCAGCATTCCCGCTGTCTGTTGTTGGGCAAGCTGGTGGGCGCCACTTCGTGGCTCCTCTGGGTGGCTTCGCCGACCACTCGGCCACAGCGTGGCTGCATCGCCCGTGGCAGCAACAAAACCATTACTCCTCCATGGGGGTGCATGTCACCCGGGGGGCGCGAAGATGATTGCGCTTCGCGCGTCGCGGCCTCCTCCTCCTCCTCCTCCTGCTCCTCCTTCTCCTTCTCCTCCTCCTCCCCCTCCTCCTCCTTCTCCTCTCCTCCTTATCCTCCTACTCTCTTCCTCCTCCTCCTCCTCCTCCTCCTCCTCCTCCTCCTCCTCCTCCTCCTCCTCCTCCTCCTCCTCCTCCTCCCCCTCAGGACCAAGGTAGATTGATGTTTTTTGTGGGAGGGTTCGGCGCGAGGTAGCGGAGGTCGCCGTGCGTCGCACAGGGCGGGGCGCGATGCGCGAAGTTGGGGGGGTCCAGAGGATCGAGGCGGGGGCTTCTCGGGCGCCTGGCCGCCTGTAGGGGGCCACATGCGACCCCTACCCCTACCCCCCACGATTTCTGACGGGGGAGGGTGGGGTGTCACTTCGATGGAGCTCCCGAACGAAGTGAGCCCCACCTTCCCCTCAGAAATCGTGGGGGTAGGGGTAGGGTTCGCATGTGGCCCCCTAGCCTTCGCACGCTGCCCTCCCAGAAGCCTCCCAGAAGGGGCCTCTAGGAAGGCAGGCGGGTTTCCAAGAAGGCGCCCTTCGCGCCTTCCTTGTCGGAGGGCGGCCTTCCGTCACCCGCCCCCCCCCATTGATGGGCGCGCCGCCCGGGGCCCATCCGAGTGCTGCCATTGCGCCGGACGTTTCCCCCCCGCGCGCGCTACTGTTCCTCGTCGCGCGTGCTGGCACCACTGTCAGGTCGGACGGGAAGGGGTATTCGGGGAAGTGGGGGTGCGAATTCTGCTGCGCGCGGCCGGTTTCGGTTCCGCCGCTGGGCGCCTTCCTTTAGGGCACAGCACAATCAAGCAACTTTCGTACGCGTATGGGAGCCTATTGTGTAGATTTGCGCGTGTGTGTGTGTGTGTGTGTGTGTGTGTGTGTGTGTGTGTGTGTCCCTGGCCCCTTTACTTTCTCGAAACGCTGGCGTGGAGAAATCATCGCATTCCGTGCGCTGACTCGCCACTCTTCTCTGCACGGCAGGCGCACCACACAAGGAGCCAGCTAACCAGTAGGCGCCACACGAGAATCTCTTATCTCCCGATAGGCCCGCAGACCCCTGGGGCACCTGATCAAGAGTCCAACGTCGGCGAAGGATCTGCCTACAGACGTCCTGCAGCGAGACTTCTTATCGTGTGTGCCTGCTGTGCCGATGCCACTACTCCCCAGACCTCTCCCGGGATGCGTTCTGACCGAATTTTCAACGAGAGTCCAGCCGTGGCGACGAGGGCCGCCCAAGAGGCCCCCCAAAGTCCAAAACCAGGCAAGTGCCCAGATGATGTAAAACAACGCTGTTTTCATGGTCTTCAAGATCGGTGTGTGTGTTTTCAGGCGTGTGGTAAGTCTGTATGTTTCTGGTTTGGGTTTACGTTCGCGCCATTTTCGTGTCGGTTCCGTGTTGTGCTATAGTGGTTTGATGTTTGGGGCTTCAGTTGTTTCGCCGTTTTGGTTTGCCCTGGACCAGGACATTGAAAACTAAGAAAACGCCCTCAGCATTTGCATCATCGACGCAGCCCAGGAGGCCCCAAAAGTTCACAACGAGGCAAGGGTACTACAGTCAGCACTGATTGTAAGGATGATCGACCTCCCAAGGGTACCCCTGCATCCTGGCCTCTTCGGCCAGCTTCGGTCCATTCTGAACCGCCGTCGTTGGGCAGAGCCCCGCTCGAAGGGTGTCGGCATGGGCGCCCCAGGCCTCTAAACAGTCGGGGCGCTGAAGAAGGAACCCTTTTCGTTGGGGAGGGGCTCGGTGTTCCTCGATTGCTTCGCAGTTTGCCTTGGGTTCTCCTGAGGCTTCCCATGGGGAATCGAAGTTTAACTCATGAGAAGAAGGGACCTCGCTCCCTGTTTAGGGTTCCTGAGGTCAACGCCCCGACGGTACCCTTCTCGCGCATCCTCACCACCAGCTTCGACCCCACCCCCCCCTCCCGTCCGACCCGAGCGTCTGAGATGGCGGCCCGCCGGCTGCTGCTGGGCGCGGCCGCGCTGGCCTTGGCGCGCCTGGCGCTCGGGCTCGGCGTCCGGGAGGCCGCCCGGGGCGCGGGGCCGCCTGGCGGGCCCGCCGCACAATGGGGCGCCGGCGAGGCTCGGCGGCGCAGAACTCCAAAGGGGCTGCGCGCACGGGGGGCCTGGCATCGCTCGGACGTGTGTGTTTTTTTCTCGGCGAGGACCCTTGAGGACGATCCTGGACCATGGAGCAAACAAAAACACGCACGAAACCGAAGAATGCACGGGAAATGGACGTCCGAGCGATGGCGAGGGGGGGGATGATGGCAGGGCTTCGGGTTTCGGTGCGGTGGAACGTCGACTGCCGCTATCCCTCCCGATCGTTTTCCCTGCAACCGACCCCCATACCCGTCCCCATGCGCATGCAGACCACCGCCATCTCCCCCCCGAGTTGGGGATGCAACCCTCGAGACCGGAAGAAGGAAGCGGCCTGCATTCCCATCTCGGGGGGTAAACTGGCCAGCGGGGCCCAGGCCACGCCGTTGGGGATATGGGTCGGATAAACGATGCTCAAGCACGGTCGAACTGGGTTGCGAACATCTGGGCCTCGGATTGCGCACAACTCTAGGCATCCCAGATGGGGTCTATGTGTGGTCGGAAGATTGCGCCGCATCGCCGATGCGGCTCGATATGGAGCCTGGATTTCTCCACGCCGACGGCGCCGATGCATTACCAGCGTCCGATGCGTCGCGGATGCGTCGCCGATGCACCATTGGCTTTGGGTTTGGGTACGATCGAAATGGGTACGGAAATGATGGGTACGAAGACCGACCGCATTCCCCGATCATTTTGAACAGGGCTCGCTGTCGGTGTGGCCGCGGACGTTCGCCGTTTCGACCGCCTTCCCAGCAGCGGCCGCTGTCGGGTCTGGACAGCACTTGAAGTCGGGCATCGTGCCAATTTTTGTCCGTACCGTCGGCCCGGACTAGTAGGTCGACCCTGCCAGATCAAGGGTGCCCTTGTGTCCTGTGCCTCGCGACCCGTGCCTCCCGCATTCCTGCGGCAAGGTGGCCCTCGGAAGGGTCTTGTGTCCTCTCGCGTGTCCTGTCCAACCAAGTCCGACTGTACCCATGTCGGGCGCCCAGAGGTCAAACAAATTAGAAACAAATACAAGAAAATAAATATAACATGTATTAAACAAACAAGCCAAGACATAAAAAGCATCGGGCGTCCAGGAGGAATGAGGTGCAGTAACTGACTCAAGACGTGGACGATTTTTGCTGTTATGCGCGGCCCACCACTCTGCTTTGGTGGGATGTGGCCTCGGTGGTAAGCGCTCTCCGCGCTGTTTAAAACAAAACACGCAAAACATAAAAAGCATCGGGCGTCCAGGAGGCAGGCCGTCCCCGCCGGCCTCGACAGGCCCCCCAAGGTGGTCCCAGCTGGCCTCACCAGGCCCCCCGAGCAGCCCCGGGGCGGTTTTCACACCCCGACCCTGGGGCGCGGAACCCCGCAGGGGCGCCGCCGGGGGCGGCGCCTCGGGCCACTCGTAAGTCGGGCGTGTCCCTTTACAGGAGGAGTATCCAAAAATAGTCAAAAAGTGGCCTCGGGATATTTTGTTGGGCGTCGTTTTGGTATTTTGCTGGAGTAGTTCTTGACTATTATTGATTTTTCGTCCAGAATTCCCCTGTAGGAGGACACGCCCGACGTAAGGCTACTCGGGAACCCTGTTGAGGCCATGTGGGACTACCTGGGGTGGTCTGTTGAGGCCGGCCGGCAGTTCTTGGAGGGGCTGCTTGTGCGCGATACGAAGGGGAGGCTTTCCCTCGAAGCAGGAGGTCCGCACAAGCCTGGTAAGCCTTGGATGGCCCGCGCGGATTCATTAGGCCCCCTGGCCCGGCCTGCTTGCTTGCGGTTGCTTACCCTGTCCTCCTTTTCCTTGCCTCCCTCTTTTTCCTCCTGCTCCCTGCCTGCTGCCTCCGCCTGGCCCCCCTTCCGCCTGCCCGCCCGCCCTGCCGGCCCTGGCCCTGGCCTCCCGCCTGCACTGCGCGTTCGTCGTCGGCGGCCTGCTTCGCCCCTCCTCTTCCCCCTCCGCCAGGCAACGGAGCCCGCCCGGGACCAGCGTGGCGGCGCTTGGGGCTCTGTGGGGCCCCCCACGTCCTGCCTTCCCCCGGGCTCCACCCCGCCCTGTGGATATTGTTTCGATGGGGTCCTGCTGAGGCTCAATCCATGTTTCAATTCCATTCGGTCTGGATCCAGGTTTAATGGGGACGCGTCAGGGCTCCATCTATCTTTGATAGAGTCCCACTCGGATTGGTTCCAGCCCTCATAGAATCCTACGAGGTCTCGATCCCGCTCCTAGTAGAATATTACGATGCTTAGATCCAGCTCAAAACGAATCTCATTATGGGTCGGTCCAGCTCAAATTGAATCCCACTGAGACAGGATCTAATTAGCTTTGATGATCCCACGGAGGTTGGATCCAGCTCGGATCGAATCCAGCTCGAGGGCTCGATGCAGGGTTCGTCGAATCCCGAAACGGCCCCATCCAGCTTTAATGCTTTCCTCTAGGGGGAAACACTATCGTAACACAACTAGGGCTCGACCTATGTTGGATGGAATCGCATTCGGGCTCGATCCAGCTCTGATGGAATTCGATTCGTGTTGGATCCAACTCTCATAGAACCATAGCATTTGGGCTTCATCCAGCGTTAACAACATGCGGCTGGTGCTCGATCCAGCTGTAGTACAATCCTATTACAGCTGGGCCCAGTTCGAATATAATCGTATCAGGGCTGGATCCAATCATGTTTGTAGAGTTGAATCCAGTTCTAAGAAAAGCTTGTCAGGGTACATTTTTTTTTACAAAAAATACGCGTCCAGTCCAGCTGGAATTATACTCGTGCAGAAAACCAGTTCGAAAATAACTTCAGTCTGGGTCGGTTCACCTCTGACAGAGTCCCACTGAGGCTGCACCTAGCTCTAATGAAGTTCTTACAGGGCTTGATCCGGTATTAACCGTTTCTACGAGCGCTCGATCCAGTCGTGATGAAACCGACCAGGGCTCGATCCAGCTCCAACATAATCTAATGAGGGGTCGATCCAGTTCTCTCGTAATCCCACCAGGGTTCGACCCACTTCATATGGAACTTGTACGAGGGCTCGATCCAGCGTTAAACGAATCCAATTAGGTTTGGCTCTGGCTCGAATCGAATCCAACGAGGGCTGGAGCCAACTCTATTAGAATATCACTACCGGTGTGTCCAGCTTTAGTACAATCGTATCAGGGTTGGGTCCAGATGTGACGGAACTCTTCTCACGTTCAATCCAACATCCATGCAACATTTGTATAAAGACTTTGATCCAATTACAATAGCATCCCATTCGTGTTTTATCTATATCTCGTAGAATCCTATTCGGGCTGGGCCCAGCTTTAGTAAAACATCGAACCAAACTTTTGCACACGAGTGGGGGTCGTTCCAGCTCCAACCGCATCCCAGTGCGGCTCGATCGTCGTCGTCGTCGTCGTCGTTGTCGTCGTCGGTGTCGTCGTCGTCGTCGTCGTCGTCGTCGTCGTCGTCGTCGTCGTCGTCGTTGTCGTCGTAGGCGTCGTAGGCGTCGTCGTCGGCGGTCGTCGTCTTCGTCCCATTCGTTTTTTCATCGTCGTCTTCGTTGTCGTCGTCGTCGTTGTCGTCTGCGTCGTCGTCGTCGGCGTTGGCGTCGGCATCGTTGTGGTCGTCGTCCGTCGTCCTCGTCCGTCGTCGTCCTCGTCCGTCGTCGTCGTCCGTCGTCCGCCGTCGTCGTCGTCGTCGTCGTCGTCGTCGTCGTCGTCGTCGTCGTCGTTGTTGAGGGGGAGTGGGCGCGGACATCAGGAGTAATATTCTTGGGGGTGGGGGAAGGGGTTCGGACCCCTGCGAATGACTTTCTGGGGGAAGGGTTCCCCCCCCTCTGGTTTAGGGGGTGTGAGCCTCCCCTCCTTTTGCCAGCAGCGGCAGAAAGCGGACTTTCAAAGTTTGTGCTCACGCAGTTTCCCCCCAAACAGCGATTGCACAGATGTCCCTATTTCTCTTACCTGAAGGTCCCGATGGGTGTGTCGCCGGTTCGGAAAATGCCGGGCCGGTGGGCGCTCGTGGGCGCCTCGTGGGCGTTTCGCGCTCGGGGCGTGGTCTCGGCGGCTGCCGTGGCCCGGCGGGCGCCCGCACCTGCTTCGGTTCGCTTTCGGCCCGCTGACCCGCAGCAGCGCTTCGGGGCTTCGGCTTGGTGCCCTCGCGTGCCGCCTGGGGCACCGCGTGGGCGCCCCGCGTTTGCGGGCTGCGCGGTGGGGCTTCGGCCGGTGCCTGCCCGTCCTCGTTTGGCGCCCCGCGGGCGCCTCGCGCTCGGGGTTTCGGTGGGTGCCCGGCCCCGCGGGCGCCTCGGGGGCGCCCGGCGCCGCGGGGGGCTATGCCGAGGCATCGGCTGGTGCCCGCCCGTGGCCGCCTCGAGGGCGCCCTGGAGGTTCTCTTGTCTACAGGAGTAGTAGAATTTCCCCCCCCCCCCCCCTCCCCCCCAGACTCAATGGTACCCGTTCGCACATGGCAATTCACATACGATGTTGCCCCATCGGCCCTCCGAGCTATGAAGTCGCACGATCCCGGCTAAGCCAGCAATCCTTCCCCTGTCGTCCTCTGCAACCGACAATATGCGCGTGCGCTCGTGTATCACAAATCATGCGTCTTCCATAAACCCTTGCAAACAACGGGACGAAGTGGACGCTTGCGTCGTCGCGCGCGCATGCCGAAATCCTTTTAAAAACCTGCGGTTTCACAGGGATTCTAAAATCGATTGTCCCAGAAGCAAGAGGAACACATGGTTTTTCAATAAGAACGTTCAAAAAACGTGCGCTCGGGCTCTTGCAGAGTCTGAAGTAAACCATCGGTTTTCAACATTCTCATCAAATGCTACCAAACGGGCTTCTCGCGCGCGCATGTCATAATAGTAAGAACGCTCTTGCGCACGTGAAGTCGCAAGAATACTGCACGACAAATGGGACGAAGTGCGCACGCGCGCCTCGTCGCGCGCGCATGCCCCAATTCTTCAAAAACCTTGGGGGTCGCAGGGGTTTCAAAATCGAGTGCGCCGAAGAACATACAACAAACACATGGATGTGCAACAACAATTCCCCTTCTCAGAATTATCCCGGCGAAGGACCCAACCAATTGCAGCTGTGGGTACCGCAATTGTGTATATCTTCTTCGGTGAAGATCCTTATGGGGCCACGAAACGCTGCACCAAGTGGGGGGGAACGCATACGGGCGGTAGCACTGGGGCCGTCGGTGGAGCTCCCTATGGGGCCACGAAGCGCTGTGCTGGGCGGGGGGGACGCATGCGGGCGGTAGTACCGGGGCCTTCGGTGAAGCTCTCTATGGGGCCACGAAGCGCTGTACTGGGTGGGGGGGGCGCATGCGGGCGGTAGCACTGGGGCCGTCGGTGGAGCTCCCTACGGGGCCCCGAAACGCTGTACTGGGTGTGGGGAACGCATGCGGGCGGTCCTCGGTGGAGCTCCTTTTGGGGCCACGAAGCGTTGTACTGGTTGGGGTGAAAGTGCCAAATTGGGATTCTGGGACGCATGCGGGCGGTCCCACTGGGGGCTTCGGTGGAGCTCCCTGTGGGGCCACGGAACGCTGTACTGGGTGGGTGGAAATGCCACATTGGGTTTCCGGGATGCATGGGGGCGGTGCCACTGGGGGCTTCGGTGGAGCTCTGTGTGGGGCCACGGAACGCTGTGTTGGGTGGGTGAAAATCCCAAATTGGGATTCTGGGACGCACGCGGGCGGTCCCACGAGGGAAGAGGAGTGGGAAGGGGGGGAGGAGGGAGGAGGGAGATGGGAACGCGGGGACCGTCTCTTCAAAACGCGGACCCAACACCACAGGATGGTTGGGGGAAAAACACCTGCGCTCGTATTCCTGCGGACCAGTCTTTATTTCAACATTTTCATCTCATTCGGCCAGACGGGGATCTCGCGCCGCATGTAGAGATTATTTGAGCGCACTTGCGCGCGTGCGTGGCGGACACGACCCGCGTCAAATAGTACCATGCGGGCCACTCTCGCGCGTCGGCCGCGCGATCATGTCGAATTCTTTCCAAAACCTTCATCGCCGACGCGAGGACACCGTCATCGTTCTCGGCATGATCAGCATCGACGCCGTCACTGGTCTTGCCGTTGTCGTTGCCATAATTGTCGCCCGCGTCGCAACTACCATCATCGTGTCTACTGTTGTCGGCGTTGCCATGGTGCCGCGCCCGCCCGAGTCGCCGACTCGCACGGAAGTGCCCGCAGGGAAGTTCCCCGCGTTCAGCACCACTGCGGCCGCATCGGTCGCGCCAACCTAGCTGCCCGATTCGTGCAGGAGCGTGCGCGGGCTAGCGCGGCCGCAGCGATGCGCCAGCTAGCGCCGAGCAGTCATTGTAATCGCCGCCACGTGGGTTTTTCAAGCCAAGTTGCGGGTTGGTGGGTGAAAAATTGCGCGAGCAGTGGAGTTGCCAACCCATTGCGAACAGAAGGTAATTGCACCACATGGCTTGCACCACGTAGCTTGCACCAGATAGCTTACACTACGTAGACAGCCCTACGCATATTGCACCACGTAGGTTGTCAACCTGGCATGTACCACATAGCTTGCATCTCATAGCTTTCACCACGCAGCTTGCACAACCCATATGGCGCCACGTAGATTGCGCCACATAGTGCGTAACGTGGCTCTCGTTACGCGTGTTGCACCACATCGCTTTCACCCCATAGTTTGCACCATGTAGAGAGTACCACATAACTTACACCATATACGTTGCACCACATCGTTTGCACCATTTTTACAAACAAACCACGCGTATGGCACTTCGCATATTGCATCATATTGTTTGTGCCCATCGGTTGCACCACGTAGCTTGCACCACATAACCAACACCACAAGGTTGCACCAAACATCTTGCGCATCCACAGCACAACTCACCCTGTGTGGTGTCGGCGTTGGTTTACTGGTTTTGCTCAGACGTCATGGTCCTATGGGTAGGCGAGAGGGCTTCGGAGCAAGGTGGGGGGGCCTCTTCCTCCCCCCTTCCTGCTCGGAAGAGGAGGAGGAGGAGGAGGAGGAGGAGGAGGAGGAGGAGGAGGAGGAGAGGAGGAGGAGGAGGAGGAGGACGAGGGAGGAAAATGAGGCGGAAAAAAACGAGGAGGAGGGAAGGAGGAAACGGAAGGAGGGAGGAGGAGGGAAGGAGGAGGGAGGAAGGAAGGAGGAGGGAGGAGGGCGGAGGGAGGAGAGGAGGGAGGAGGGAGGGAGGGAGGAGGGAGGAGGGAGGAGGAGGAGGGAGAGGGAGGAGGGAGGAGAGGACAGGAGGAGGAGGGAGGAGGAGGGAAGGAGGAGAAGGGGGGAGGCGGAGGATGGGGAAGGAGGGAGGAGGGAGGAGGGAGGAGGGAGGAGGGAGGAGGGAGGAGGGAGGGGGAGGAGGGAGGAGGGAGGAGGAGGGAGGAGGGAGGAGGGAAGGAGGGAGGAGGGATGAGGAGGTGGAGGAGGTGGAGGAGGAGGAGGGGAGGAGGGAGGAGGAGTCGGAGGAGGAGGAGCCGAGGAGGAGGAGGAGGAGGAAGGAGGGAGGGAGGAGTGCGAGGACGAGGACGAGGACGAGGAGGAGGAGGAGGAGGCCCGCTTACGCTTCAGGTGCCTGCGCCTCGCATCTTGCCGAAAGCAAGAGCAGGCCCGAGGGCCCCTGAGAAGCCGCCACCTTGGTTGGCTTCTTGGGAGGCCGGCCCCCTCCCCTGCGCGCCGCCGGGAAAGGCAGCCCTGAGCGTCGAAGATGGCACGGCCAGCGGCAGGGATCCGGACTCGTGGTACTGGGACGCGTGGAGCCTCGAGAATGCCAGCCTGAGCCCCGAGGACCGGGCGACGCAATCTGTGCATTGCCGCTGCCCCCCTGGCTGGGCCGTTCCTCCGCCCAATAGCTGTGTAAACGCCCTCCTGGCCAACTCGGGATGGCGTGGCGCATACGCTGCTGCTCGGTTTCTGATCGGCCTGGCCAGGGAGCAGCGGATATATATATATATATATATACACACAAACATATATATATATGTGTGTATATATATATATATATCCGTCGCCCTAGAGGCTGTAACGGAGGACGACTTCGATACATGGTACTTCGAGCATGCGGGACTTTCGGCACGTGACGCCTCGGCAAGTGGCACCCAGCAGCGGTTCGTCGATGCCGGCCCCGACAAGCACAAAGCTGACGCAGAACAGCTGCTCGCCTTCGAGCAGGCGAAGCAGACGTGCCAAGCCCAGGTAGTTGTTTTTCTTGTGTCGCCGCACCTTTTGACCTGACGCGCGGCCTTGCGTCTCGGGGAAGGCGCCGCGGCCACCAGGGCAAACGCCGCCTCGGACGCGGTGGGTTTGCCGGGGGGGCTGCCGCTTCGCCGGCTTCGTCTCCTTGGGCGCGGGACGCAGTGTTTGCGGTGGGTTTGCCGTGGTGTCGGCGTCGTTCCTTCGGGCGCGTCGATCGGCGCGGCAACACGTGTTGCTTCGCCGATCGGCCGCGGGCCTTGGGCCCCCCCCCTCCATCCCCGCATAGGCCAGATCTTGGCTGCTTGGGGCGGCCGTTTTTGGCGACTGGTCAGGACCCCTCCTCCCAGTCTGCTTGCGCGACTGGCAAGAGCAGATCGGCGAGGCACCGGCCCAGACCCAGACCCCCCTTCCCCCCCCCTTGGGCCAAATGTGGGAACTCAGGAGAAGAATAGCCTGGCGAAGGACCCAACAATATGCAACTGTGAGGGACTCAGTTGTGAGAGTCGTCTCTCCTCGAAACACGTGAGGGGTGTGTCGAAATTGGGCGGGGGGGACGCATGTGGATTGTGCCACTGAGGCCTTCGGTGGAGCTTCCTATGGGGCCACGAAACCTGTGAGGGGTGTGCCGGAATTTAGCGGGGGGACGCATGTGGACTGTGCCACTGGGGCCTTCGGTGGAGCTCCCTATGGGGCCACGAAACCTGTGCGCCGTGTTCCGAAATGGTGCGGGGGGCGCATGTGGACGGTGCCACTGGGGCCTTCGGAGGAGCTTCAGATGGGGGCACGAAACGTGTGAACGGTGTGCTGAAATGGTGCGGGGGGACACATGTTGCCTGTGGGGCCACGACACGTGAGAGGGGTGTGCTGAAATGGTGCGGAGGGACGCATGTGGATTGTGCGAGGGCTTTCGGTGGAGCTCTCTATGGGGGCACGAAGCGCGTGAGGAGTGTGCCGTTGTGGTGCGAGGGGACGCGTGTGGACTGTGCCACTGCGGCCTTCGGCGCAGCCCCCTATGTGGCCACGAAGCACATGGTGTGTGTGTGTGTGTGCAGAAATGGGGCGGGGGACGCATGTGGACTGTGACGCTGAGGCATTCTGTGAACCTCCCCATGGGGCCACGATGCGTGCGAGTGGTGTGCTGGAATGGTGCGGTGACGCCTGTGGACTGTGCCACTGGGGCCCTCGGTGGAGCTCCCTTTGGGGCCACGAGGCGTGTGAGGGGTGTGCCGACATGAGGCAGGGGGACGCATGTGGACTGTGCCACTGTGGCCTTCGGTGGAGCTCCTTCTGGGGTCATGAAGCGTGTGAGGGGTGTGCCGAAATCGTGTTGAAATGGTTGTGCGGAAGGCAGAGCCAGGCATAGGAGGATAGAGGAGGGGGAGGAGAAGGAGAGGCGACGCGGGGCACTGTCTCGTCAAAACGAGGACCCAACACCACAGGATGGTTGGGAAACCGTTTAGCAGGTCGGCCTCGAGAACGGCGTCATCACGTACTTGGTTACCCGGAAAGCTGATCTGTTTTATCTGAAGCAGAGCGTGCCACGGCTGTCCCGCCACGTCCTCGAACGCTGGGCATACGACGTGAAAGTTTTCGTACCGGGCGACAAACTGCGCGAGCACGATCACTATAGCTTCTCGCATTCCCCCACGCTCGAGGAAGTGCGCGTTGCCATGCGTAAGATGCTGGGCGAGAGTTGCAATTGGGAGATCGTCCCATTCGACATCGAATTCCCAAGGGTGATTTGGGAGGATCCCGGGTGGCAGTCCAAGAAGAACGCGTGTGCCAATGCCGTAAGCACTAGCTACTGCCACATGAACCAGTTCTTCACGAAGGCGATGTATGAGCACCCCGCTTTGGAGAAGTACAGGTTCTATCGGAACAGGCTTCGGCCCCCGCCGCTGGCCCCCCTCGGATTGCTGCCGTGGCCACGCCCGTTCGGCAGGCCAGTCCGTCGGCTTGCCAGTCGGCCGGCAGCTGGATTTGCCGGGTTGCTGGCTGGCTGCTGGTTGCACGCAGCTGCAGGTACGGCGGGGGCGTTCGTTCAGGAAGGTGCCTGGGAGGCTTCAGACCCGGGAGGGTTCCTTATCTGAGAAGGGCGGCGGTGATAGCCATGGCCGGTCCACGATGGGAGTTCCACCAGCTTCCAGACCCTGGATTCCTTATCCAATGGTTCCTTGTCCAATGCCCTCGCCGCAATTCATCGTATCGGGTGGTGGCATCGGGAGCGCGCTTCCACTGTGCTTTGGCAAGGGTTCGCGGCCATCGGGAGCGCGCAGCCCCCGCTATTTTTTGTGGATTTTCGTAGCATGTTGGACACGAGGCAGAATTTCCAGAACACCGGGGGGAGGACGGGGAGCGTGGGGGGAGGGCGTACGCCGCATCCGCCGACCCCTTAACTGAGTTCAAAGTTTTGATGCTGCTTTTCGGTGTTTGGAGGGTTCACGTCGCGCAGTTGGCAGGCCTCTCAGTGCAGTGGCAAGTGCCACAGGAAGTTGCCGAAGTCGACCTTTCGCCGTGGACGCGAGCCACGTCGCGCGTGACGAGAAGGGGGAGGGCGATGTCGCCATGATTTGCAACGGAGTGTAGCCTCGGGAGCTCCAGGCCACAGTATTCTGCAACGGCTCGTGGCTCCGGGAACGCGCGAGCGTCGTAGTTTACGACGGGTTGTGGCCCCTGGAGTGTTGCACCGTTGCGATTTGCATGGGGTTTCCGTTCTGGGCGCGCAAACATTCAGGAGGGAAAAGAACACACAGACACAATGAATCGTTGATCCCCAAGAAAATATGGGAATTGGGCGGGAAGACAAAAACCTAGAAACTATGGGAACATATGGGGAACCTTTATATTTGTGTGTATTTATTTGTGTGTCCCAGGGCCCCTTCAGCATGCTGTCATGTCTCCGGGGGGTGAGGCTTCGGGAGCGCAGACGTGCCATAGACTATGGCCTCGGGAGCGCGATGGTGTTGTGCTTTATCTACTTCGCGCGGAGGCTCCGGGCACACGATTCTTGTTGTACTCTGCACGCCGGGTGGCCTCGGGAGCGCGACCTGGTGGTCGTGTGCGCGGGGCTGTGGCCTCGGGCGCGCGAGCGCGACGTGCTTTTTGCGAGGGTCTGTGGACTCGGGAGCGCGAGCGCAGCGTAAGGCCCTGAGCATTGCTGTCTCGGCGACGCGACGGCGTCGTACTTTACGGGGGGGTTATCGCCCCGGTATGCGCGGGAGCATTGTGCTATAAGGGTCGTGGCCTTGCGAGCGCGATCATGTCACGGCCGCCTCACAGCAACGATTGTGGCCTCGAGAGCGCGAGCGATCTGTAATTCGTGATTCTTCGCGTATCCCCACCAGGTCGGCCGTTACCATGTCCCGGGACGCTTCTGACTCCGCCTGCGCTTTCGCTAGTGGAGGCGACCGAGAAAAAAAGTATCCCCACCAGATCGACTCGCCGTGTGCGCTTTCGCGCGCGGCTGCTGACAAAAAAGTATCCCCACCAGCCCACCCAGGAACGATGCCTACGGGAGCTGTCCTTATCGGGGGAGCGTGGCATCATGTGGATACATCGAGGAGCCTCGGTGAACAAGAGGCCTCTTGGATGCCCTTCGGAGTCGCTTGGGATGTCTCCTGGGGGGCTCATTGTGGTCTCGTAGGGCTTCTTCGGGGCCTCTTGGGGGCCTCTTGGGGGGCCTTGGGGGCAGAAGCGAAAAGATGAGAAGGCCAAGCGCATTGATACCCCTCGGCCCTTTGAAGAACTTTGGCTTCTGGGGGCGCCCTGGGGAAGCTCCAGGACCACTTGGACCCGTCTTGGAGCGGTGCTTGGACCCTTTGGAGCATGTTGGGAGCCATCTTGAGCCATCTTGAGCCATGTTGGAGATCATGTTGGGCACTCAGAGGCTCTCTTGGAGCCATCTTGGGCCAACAAGGAGGCTCCGACTACCCGTGACACCCCCCGCCCAGGTCCAGGGGCAGGAGGTAGGATGAGGGCTCAAGCCCCCCCCCCTCCCCTGAAGGACGGCCGCCTGGCGCGCTCCCACCCGCACCCCCACCACAACAGAAGCGCTCGCGTCTCAGCACGGGCAGGGGCCGCCACCGACCATGATCGGACACCAAGGTAGACGAACCGCCACGTGCGCGACAACAGCGAGGTGCGCCGCGCGTGCCAGGGCACCCGCACCACCCTGGCAACAAAACCAATGGTTGCAACGTGATTGCTTGGTGCCCGCGCGTTGTCCAGAGTTTGCCGCAACATGAGCTTCAGTTCTTCCCAGCCATCCTGTGGTGTTGGGTCCTCGTTTTGAAGGGAAAGAGAGAGAGAGAGAGAGAGAGAGAAAGAAAGAGAGAGAGAGAGAGAGAGAGAACAAACAAAAACGAAGAGAGAACGCCCCGCGTCCCACCTCCTCCTCCTCCTCCTCCTCCTGCTCCTCCTCCTCCTCCTCCTCCTCCTCCGCGCGACGAGTAGCGGGTAACAGCCGCTCTGTATGGCATTGTGGCAATCAGTCCCAATGCAGCTGGGGAGCGCTCTTCTAGCCGTCGCTTGTTCAGGTGGTCAGCGAGTTGCCGACTCACTACTCCAAGCGTCACCAGTCGTGCTCCGTCATCGACCGTGCCTTCGGGTCGCTGCCGTCCCACAACGTCCTGAACACGGCGATCACCTTCGAGGTATGGCAGGAAGCCCCCTCCCTGGCGGACTGGGGCTTCAGCGACCACGCTACTATTGTGTTGGAATTGAAAGCGCGCTCACCTGTTGTGAATGACGGCCAGGCGATCCCTCCATGCGTCTTCGGCTCGGAGCGTTTCGCCGCCAGTGTGAAGGCACTGCTGGACGTCAGCAACTTCCCAAGCACCTCAGAGGTGTCCCGCTGGTCGCTGGCCAAGGAGATCATGACAGAGTCCGCGCGCCTTCTTCGAGACGAGATGACGGGCATCCGATGTGGCAACCTGTTATCCTGGACTAGTACGGCAACACGAGGCCCACAACAGAGGCTGCCCAGAGGGCCGACAGCCTGCTGGGACAGCAGCAGTGGATACATAGGCAGATGCAGGAGGCCATGGAGAGCATGAGGCGGGATGGAATCGACCTTCCAAACGCCAGCTGGACTCGGCGATCTCGCCGGAGCGGGCGAGGACGGCAGGCGATTCACCATGCGGGCTATCGCCAGAGCTGTCTGGCGCCAGGACGCCCGATTCGGCCGCCGTCTGCAAGACACCACCGCGCTGGGGGCCCTCCACCTGAACATTGACGAGAATGACTCCATCACGATTGTGGACCCCGAAAGCTTTGAGAGGGAATGCCGGCTTCATCGCGCAGCACGCCACGAGCGTCAGCGAGGTGCAGCTGCTGCGCGTCTTCGAGAGGAGTCGCGCCTTCACTTCGAGACGGCGGGCCCCTCCAAACGGCAGTTGCTGCAGCTCCAGCGGGCGGCCCAGCGTCCGGGCCCTGCTGCGGTTCCCCTGCCGCCGCCGTCTGGTGCTCTCGGGCGCCCGCTTCGGCAGCGAGGGGAACCAGGCCTCCATCAAGCGGGGGCCCATGACCATGATGCAGAATGCCCGCAAGTACTGACCGCCCATCTTCACTGACAAGCCCGTCGATCTCAGTGAGGTGGACCGCGACCTGGGCGACCACATGCCCGTATGCCAGCAGCCGCCGATGGAGGTTCCATCGCTTGAGGCCCTCCGAGGTGCATCCCCACGGGCGCGACCGACCGCCCCCGGCCTTGATCGACTGCGTGCCCAAGCGTGGCCGGCCGATGAGAGATTCACGGAGGTGCTCTACGATGCGATGTTGAACCCATTCTGTGGTCACGCTGCGCCCTGGGGATTCAATTTCTCCACCCTGGCCTCTGGACCAAAGGGAGATGACCGCTCGGATTTGATTGATGCCAGCTGGCATGCGGCCAAGATGCGGCCGCTCTCCCTCAAGAGCGCAGACGCGAAGGCCACCGCATGGGCGACCAACCATCAACTCGCTGCACTGACAGCAGAGCACGGCCACGTGGGCCAGCAGGGATTCATCAGAGGCAGGAGCTTCCTGTCCCACATTCTCCGCCAGGATGCTATCGTTCGAGCCTTCAGCCACAATATGTCTCTCCTCTCTTCGCCTGTTTCGAGCTCTGTGCTGCCTTCGCCTCTCTGTCCCGACCCTTCCTCCACAATTTGCTCGAGCGACATCGCATCCCGATGGGTTTTAAGAATGTGATCTCGGCGCTATGTTCAGGAGTTCTCGCTTCACTCCCGATGTGGAGCCGCCCGCAGGCCTCTCTCCATGATCTCCTCTGGGGTCGCTCAAGGGATGCCCTCTCTCGGGCGCCTTGTGAGCCGTCTGTTTGGACCCCCTTGTTTGCGCCGCGTGGACTCCCGGTTGAGCTCTCCAGAGGCCCTCGCCATGTGTCCTGGCCCTGAGCGATGGCGCCCTAAGCTAGAACCCGGGTGTGGCGCGACGGTGGACGATGTGGGCCCCGCTCTCCCCTCGATTCGGCTCCCCGCCCTCCATTCGTCTCCGCCCACACGATTGCGGTTCTCGTGCTGCAGCCAGACAAGTGCTGCGTCGTCCTTCTTCGGCGCCGCTTGCACATCCGGCATGCAACGAAGCACCTCGCCCCAGGTAGCGCGGAGTGCTCCGCAGTGGTCCAGCTTTCACCGCCACGACATCTCTCGGTGTCGAGTTCGGGCTTGGGGCCGACTTTCAGGCCCAGTTGGCCTCGCCCGGCAGCACACGGAAGCCACGCGCGGCCGAGATTGCCCTCGGCCGCTCGCCCGCTGACGCAAGCTGCTGCATCTACAACTCTGGGTGCATCCCAATGCGGAGCTACAGTCGGGGCCCTGAAGAAGGAACCCTTTTCGTTGGGGAGGGGCTCCGTGTTCCTTTAAGTGTTTC